AGACAGAAAATACAGACCTAAAGAGAGTAAAAGGTGATGAGAGAGAGAAATGCTTGCCAGAATCCATCCATTTTACATCTTGAATGTTTTTGGTTTGTTTTGTTCCTGTGGAAGTGAGTGTATTCATACTCACTGTTCAGTTAATGTCAGCTCATTGCTGCTGAAAAGGGGAAAAGTTTGCTTGCCCTTTCTCTGTGAGTTCTATGTCAGGAGAGAACTGTGCTTTTGGGAGTTTATCTGGTTTTTTCTGGGTTATTGGGTTAAGTTAGATAAGGGAACTGTGGGCTTGGCCCAAATAGTTTGAGAAGCAGTGTAAATTAAGCAGTAGGAGCACTTGCCTAGAAGTGGTGTTATTCCTTTTCAGTTTTCCTCAAACCATGCACCAAAGTTCTTGCCAAAGGAAAGACAGTTAATTTTTTGCCTTGGTGCTACCAGACATGTAAATATATGAGACACGATAAATACATATGCATCTGGGAACTTGGTGCTGTCATAGAAGTCAGGGGGTTGTTTCTTTTAAAAGCCTGGATTCTAAGAAGTGACTCTTGGCTGTTGTACAGGTACAGACGAAAAGCCACACACGTCTTCATCGGGGTAAGTAGATCTTGTTATTATGTGTGAATTCTTTCTAACTACCAATGGATGCATTCTCATCCAGCTCTTCGTTGTCTCTGCTTCCTAGACAGGGGCAAAGGTTCAGAGAGTCAGCAGATCCTACTTCTGCCTGTTCTCTAACAGAGCTGTATATTCCTGAACATGGCAGCATTTTCCTGGGTGGACATAATTGTATCAACTCTTAAGACTTTCTGAGAAAACAAGAATTATTTTACTGTCACCAAAAGACTTCAAAGGATTGACATCTGGTGCTATTACACAGCTTGAACATAACCAGATTGTAGCATGTACTCTAAAAATGCTGAGATCCAACAGAAGAGGTGGCAGTCTGAAATTAAGAAAAAAATTTGAATGTATAATTAAATGATATTTATTAACAAAACCTACTGGCAAATGACAGATCTTCATTAGGATGGTTTTTATCACCTAAAATTCATGTAGGTGCATATGCTGTGGTTGAACTTGTACAAATATAGGAATGTATTTGACTTCAAGGGGTTGGGTTAAGCATCTCAACTGCCCCTAGAAATTTCTGATGGTATTCGGACATCTTTGTAGGGTTGGTAGATGTCAAGCGACACTTGTGGGTCTCCTTTACACTTCACAGGATAAATTGCTACCTTGCATAGGAAGTTGCTAGAAACTTGCTGTTTCCTTGTAGGAGTTTGAGTTTTTGTTGAAAATTAACACTTGAGAGGTTTGTCCAGTTTTGAACTTGTTGGTATAATTAGTTTAAAATATAATGTGGAAAAATATTTGGCTTTCAGGCTGCAGCTATTCCAGCAAATCTATGTTTTCTCATTGCTGAGCCTATGTGGCTGTTCTAAATTGCAGTCCCTAGACAGCACTAGGTACGAAAATTAAGTAGCAAATTACTTAGTAGGTGGAAAAAGAATTACTTGAACCACCATTCCAATTTGTTACGGCTTATTTTTATTAATGTGAATATGCAAATGAAAAAATGGATCTAAAATATTTTTTAGAATTAACCTGGACATTTCTGAGGGATGTAAAATGAGAGCCCCAAGTGTGTGCTGCCCTCAGACAGTGGCTGTGTTGGCAGCTGTGCGGCTGAGGGCATTGCTCAGTACCTCATGGCCTGCATTGCTCACAGAGGGACAGGGCTGCTGCTGCTGCTGGACTGGAGTCATTGCTGTGAAGTTTCAAACAGTTGTGTTGTGGGCTCTTTACCAGGCTGCCAGCAGATTTCTTTGATGAAGCAGAGCAAGAGAGTGCCAGTGTACAGCTTTCCAAGCGCCCAGGTCCCAGTTTATTGTCAGGGAATTACGATGACGACGATGATGATGAAGAGGAGGAACAAGAACAATCAAGCAAGTCTTCAGTTGTGCATAAAACTGAAATTCCACCTCCAACTCAAGAAGTAATAGCTAATTCTCTGCCTGCAGGTAATGATGACTGAAATAGTAATTAGTAATTCTTAGTAATTAATAGTAATTCTCTGTAAGGAGAAACTGTGATTTAACTGATGATGAAAGGTTTTTATTTTTCTAATTATTGCCATTAGGTGGTGGTGAGGGTGTGTAATACTGGAAGTAGAGATAAACTAGCCAAGAATCTCCTTTTATTGTGTGGTGGTTTCTTATTGATTGTATGTTCTACTTGTTTGAGGTTGCCAAGGGAAGTAACATCTGGCTGTTCTTTCCTTGATTCAGTAAGGTGCTAACTGAAATTCCTGTTTAGTAGGAATTTTAGAAAATGCCTGAACATCTGTTCTTTTTGTCATAGACTTCTGTCCTTTCCTATAGACTTTTTTGACACCAGAACTCCAGCTGCTCCTATAGTTTCTCATTCAGGATCCATACAGAAAGCAGAGATACAAGAGAAGGTAATTGAAAGGTAAGCAGTCAAATCAAATATTGATAGTCTTAGGAACTGTAAATATACATTTATCTTCCAGGAGATAGGGACTGTGATCACTTAGAACTTATTGTTATGTTTCATGCAGAACAGTTTGTATATATGTGAGCCTCAGGCATTATTTCAGACAGGTATCTTGCACCCTAGGGACAAGAGAAGAGATGGAGCAATGTCATACAGAGTGTTTGACATCTCTTTGCAAATTTTAACACAGGTTACTGTGGGAGCTTCATGTCAACCACTGCTTTCCACTGTTTAAAGGAAACTGCTTGTTCTATGGTAATGGTTCAGCTCACTTGAGCACTCCTTTAGACAGTGCTTTAGTCTTTCAGAAGTAGAAACTGTGCTGTTACAATGTTCCGGTGTTCAGCACACTGGAAAGAACAGTTTAAGAATCATAAGCTACAGCTCTTGTTTTAACAGTGAGATTTAAACCTTTCTGTGCTGCTCCTTCAAAGTGAGGAAAGACCAAGCTGAAGGGGGAGGTTTTCATGGTTGTAGATAAAATTAAAAACTTAAAAATCTTGCTGTTTCTGCATACTTACACAAAGGATTATGAATTTTGTTCTTGACTGCTTTTAACTCTGAAGTAAAGCAGATTGTAAAGTGTTAACTTGGGCTAATAGTAATCAAATATTTCAGGAAAGAAAACACTGCTGAAGCTTTGCCAGAAGGTTTCTTTGATGATCCTGAAGTGGATGCAAAAGTAAGTGATCTACTTGTTTTATGCTACTGGATTTATTTCTGCCAGTTGTAATGATTTTCAAAGTAGTAAGGATGCTTTTCCAGGCAATCATACCAGAATATAAGAAAATAATGGAACTATTTAGACTAAAATAGACTATTTCAGTTGGAAGTGACCTGCAATAACCATCCAGTCCAACTGCCTGAAAACTTCAGGGCTGAACAGAAGCTAAAACTTGCTCTGTCCAAATGCCTTTTAAGTGCTGACGGGCTTGGGGCATCAGCCACCTCTCCAGGAAGGCTGTTCCAGTGTTTGCCCACCCTCTTGGTATAGAAATGCTTCCTACTGCCCAGTCTGAACCTCCCCTGGTGCAGCTTTAAACATTCATTCTGTGTGAATTAGAAAACATGAAAAGGGATGGAGGTGGGCAGGAAGAGCTTGTTAAAGTCATCTCTCAGAAGGTATTTTTGATTTTGGTTCTCTGTGACTCTTAAAGAAATGTCATTTGTTGGCTGGAATACTGAACTGAGATTTCTGTGAGTCATCCCAGGAAAAGCAGTTCACTTAATTTGTACGTTCAATTTTGCTTTGGAACTGAGGATATAATACTTCTATAATGTCCTTTGTGAGATCCTGCTGGAAAGTGTTGAGTCACTGTGTGACTGATAGGGTGCATCCTGTTGGAATGAAAACAGTGCCATTATGGCACACACTGTCATCTGTAGTACTGGTTACAGCACAAGAGTGAACTTGGTCTCCAGCCCTCTCATCTTTTACCACTTTGGGGTTTTATGATGATCAGAAAAGAAATGTGGGTATTCACTTTATTTCTCATAAAAAAAACCCCACAACTAAAAATCTTGGAATTCAAAAACATTCATACGTCAGCTTGCACGGTGCAAATGATGACCAAAATAAACACTGGTATTTGAAATACAAACCTTTTCTTTTGTTTTGTTTTGTGAAATTTGCCACAGATTTGATGGCTTTCTTGCTTTTTAAATTGAAATATAGTGCTATAGGCCAAAGAATTTTTATTTTCTTTGAGTATATTTCCTTGTTCTTACAGTGGAAAGCTGCTGGTGTATTTAAATGGCATTGTGAAGCCAAGCCATGACATCTAATTTGGAGACCTTCCAAATAATGCTTCTTCATGTTCAGTTATTCCCACTGGCCCAGCTAACAAGCTTAGGTGTTTTATTTGCTCTGGCAAGACTCTTTTGGCAGTGCTCATGCCCACGTGTTGCCATATGTGAATAGTTTTGAATAATGATATTTCAAATATTGAAATATGTAGCAGAAAAAGCCATGCTTTGGCTTTTTTTTTTTTTTTTTTTTTTTTTTTTTTTTTTTTTTTTTTTTTTTTTTTTTTTTTTTTTTTTTTTTTTTTTTTTTTTGTTCTGTGTTTAACTGAAGTATTAAATTTTTCAAATACTTAGTTTCATAAGTTGGGAATTCAGGAAAGGAGAATCTGTTTGTATCTATGAGGACACTGGTTAGTGACCTTTGTTCGGGTTATTGCCTGCACTGATAAATTTACAAGTGGTTACTTGTGCCACTGAATTGCTTGCAGTGGCTCTTCCTTTTAATCAGCCCTTTCTAAGTGTAACTAATACTCAGAAGAAGTAAAATGTTTGTGACATCACTTATATTGAGGTGACTGCAGTGGTTCTGTGTTGGAATTGTACACAAAATAATTATTTGAAGAGTTAACTGGGCGTTTGAAAGGGAGATTGTGGGTGTGAAAAATGCTTGTTATTTGCATCACGTACTTATAACGCAAATAAATTCTGGATTAGATAAATATTTCAAGAAAAAAGAATAACTTTAGTGTTTAAATTTATTGTAAGAAATACAAATAATTATGAATTACAAAAGACAACCACAATGCATAATAACACAGTACATGATAGAAATAATAACAGAACAGAAAAATGAAATGATGACTATTACTTCCCAGTATGAGTTTGCTTGGACGCTTCTAATTTATTCTATAAACTTAATTCATATTACTTGACTACTTGACTTTGTATAATCACTCAGGAACAAAACACACCAAACTGTTGTCTTTGCTAAGGTGACAACGGACATGTCACCAAAAGACCAGAATGAATAAAGGGAAAATAAAACTAATGCAAAAAAAGATGGTATCATGACTTGCTATGTTCAAACTATTAATTCTCCTAGCTACATAATTTCTAACCAGTCCTGAGTCAGGCATAATCTGTCCTCTAAAATATATTATATGCCACATCTTCCAGTCTTGAATTGTGGAAGTTTCAATTACACAGGTAGACTACCTTGTTTATTTATTTGCATTAAAAGCACAATCTGGCTTTGATTACCTTGGCTGTAGATCTTAAACACATTCTTACCACTACTACATTTTCAGACTTCATGTCCTAGTATTAAATGCCACCTACCACAGAATAAAAAGCTTTGCATGTCATTAAGATTGGTTTGTATCTGTACAGTTTCTTCTGTTAGCCAACAAAATTAAACTATATTTGAAATACAGTCAGGCTACCTAACACCAGCAGACTAGTGACTGAAGGGTTTGATGCTTTATGTTCACTGCTTTTTGGCTTGTGAAATGGCTACTGTATGCAATTGTACAGGCAGCTTACAGAATAATTTAAGTTATCACCTGACACAGTGAAATGACAGACCATCAAACTCACTTTTGTTGCTCCAGACATTCCACACGAGCCACTTTTAGTCAATAATTATTCTTTAATGCTGCAATTACGGATGTTGTTTTAATCCAGAAGTAGAGTCAGATTTTTCTTCTGAAACCATGGTGCAGCTGCACTCTCTCACTCATATCTATTACTTAAACTGAAATGTATCAACCAGACTTTTCTGATAACACAGCATATTTTTTCATATTTCTCCTGGTTTTTTTTTACAGTGCCCCAGAGAGTCATTAGACTTAAATTGTTAATTTATAAATTTCCATGTTCCTTAGGTGAGAAAAGTTGATGCTCCAAAGGATCAGATGGACAAAGAATGGGATGAATTTCAAAAGGCAATGCGACAGGTCAACACAGTAAGTAATGGAATCTATATTTATTGATTCTAAATACTATACACAATAAGGAAAACAACAGTTTCATGCAGCTCTGCAGAACAGCCGACATCTGCATTTGTCAGCTGTTTGTTTCAATGCAGTGTGTGGTTAAATGCACTTTATAAATGAGCAAAGGGTTCCTTGTATTTTCCACATAAATGAAATTAAGTTGAAAACTATTAATCAAGATCCAGTCATATGTATCTAGTTATATTTTTTACACTGTATTTTATTTAAATATATATAGCTAGCATATACCTCAGATCAGTGTCCTGTGTCCAAACAGGACACAATTGTGGGCTCTTCTTTAGCTCTATATTCATATTTTAACTTTTAAAAACACTACCAATTTTTCTGTCTTTTTAAAAAAGTATCTATAAAGTGTAGGTAACCTGGATTTAGTGTTTAATTTAAATATACTGGAAATGAACTCCAAAATCTGGGAAGATGACAGAAGAATTCGAGACATGTAAATTTGGCCAGTTTTTCTGTACTTCAGTTTTTCACTGTTACCATTGCATGGACAGTCTTCCTGCAGCAGGTGTTTAGAATTTAAAACTGCACTACAGATTACCTGATGTTCTCAGTCTTGCCTTAGAGTATTTGCTATCCTTTAAATTATTTTAATTGTAAATAGTTACTCATGTCAACTGCTAAGAAAAGTGGTGCAGAAAAATGTATCATTGCTCATTTTAAAGCAGTCAGCACTATAAACAGAGCGAATGTTCATACAAAAGCGGTGGTGGATACATTTTGCTAGCATAAGCCATTCAGATAATTCTTCAGTTTAGGAGGAATCTTCTCAGTTATGCGTGGACCATTGATTGCATAGCATCTCCCAGACATTCAGATTTGAGAAAGTATATGCTGAAAAAAATAACAGGTTAGAAACACTTCGGGATCTAGTGGGAATATTTAAACAGCACGTTCAATAAGTGGTGTGTATTTAAGTCCCAAGCACTGGGATAGAGCTCCCGTTTCAGCCTCAGACTGTGGATGTGTGTTGTTTGTTTATGATCAGTTTCAAATCGTAGTGTATTGAGAATTTCCAAAGATTAACCCCAAAGCAGCCAAACTACTTTTGATTTTAAGAAAAAGCATTTCCATTTCAAATTTAACCAGACTATTTTTTTTTCTGTATTTGCCCTTCTAAAGATGGGAATATACATAGAGGAGACTGACACTAACTTCAGGTAGAGGGGAGCAGGGGAGGACACAGACATTGTAAAGGAGTGGAAGTGGAATTCAGGATGAAGGTGAATTTTCTCAGTGCTTTTCTGGTTTAGATTTCAGAAGCAATAGTGGCAGAAGATGATGAGGAGGGACGACTAGATCGCCAGATTGGAGAAATTGATGAGCAGATGTAAGTAGATCAATTTTTCCTCAAATTCTCTGTTCTCTAGCAGTAATGCATTGCTCTTTGATTAGAGTGATAAAAACACTTCTAATCTGCGATGCTACCTTTCATTAATCATTTGAAGGCCAGACTCCCTCAAATTGCAGAATGACACCTAATAAAGACATGGATTTTTATCCAAAGTTTTGTAACTTTATCCAAAAGACAGAATGCACTGCAATCACTGAAAGCACACAAGGCAAATTTTTGGAACAAACTGTCCCTCTTCCCCTGCCAAGGGGCTTATTGTCTTAATTTTTATTTCCATGGGAATTCTGATGGATGTAGAATTTATGTGAACATTTTTAAGAAACATTATCTGTATTGAAAATGTCCTGTGGCAAACCCTCATAATTCTAGTAGAAGTTTACTTAAAGGTTTGTTGAGTGATGCACTTCATTACATGAAGCGGTTTGTTTGGTTTTGTTTTGCTGAAATAGTGGGTGTGGTGGTTGGATGGGCATTGGTTTGAACTCAGGTAATCTGAAACACAGCTCAGTGGAGCAGTTTGTTACCATTTCCGTGTAGCTCGACACTCTGGTATTTATTAACACTGATAATGGCAATAGTAGTGACTGAGAAGAAAGAGATGCAACAAAAAGAAGACACTAGAAATTAAAGCAACACTTCAACCATCTGGGCAGATTTACATGCTGCATATAATCAGCAGTGTATGGTAACAAGAGCATTGGGTTCAAGCTGAACTCTGCTATTACAGGAATGTCTTTTAACAATGTTAATGTAATTCTGCTGAGGGCTTGAGCTAAACCTGCCTCTCTTTGAGGATTTATTTTTCTCACTAGCTAGGGCTGTAAGTACATAGAACCAAATTCAAAAATTTGTAGAGTACTTCAAGGTTTAACTATAATTATTTTTCCCCAAAGTAAAAGTTCTAAACACATTTTTAAAGACTTCTTGTAACTTGGACTTTGAGTGCATTCAAATGCAGGCTATTTCAAATAAAGTTGAAAATGAAATAAATTCCTCGGCCTTCAAATCTTCAGCTATGACTGTCTGTAAGAATCATGTTGGTAATATGCCAGGGGAAACAGAATCCAGAAAATAAAATGCAAATAACAATGAAAGAGTCAAAGGAGAATTTTAATCAGGCTGGTACTGCTTGGCATTTTCAAAAAAAATACTCCGTTTAAAGTGGCTAGAATGGTTATAAAACACAATTCAAGGACAGAACTTTTTGAGTGAATGGAAATGTGAAACCTTTGGATTGTGTTTACTTAAAATCTTCTGTTACCACAGAGGAAGCAGATAAAGAATCTGAACACTTTGTGCCGTTTTTTTTTATTTTCAGAGATGCTACCACTAAGTTATCAAAATTGATGTCACACTTTCTCTCATGAGAACCATAAATGGAACAAAGAATGGTGTTCCTTCTTATGTGGAGATGGATATTGGTTCTGTGCTTTCTGAAAAATAGTTTGTGACTGTATAGCAGTTGTTAAGTATTTGGATTAGATCTCATTGCTAGAGAATTGACCAAACCTCTCCTTTCCTTGAGCAGAGTTTTCACATGATGAACACTGAGAGGGTACACTAGCATCTTGAAAGCTTATTTCTTTTTCACTGATGGGAAGCTTCTTTATCCAAAGTTGTAAAAGCAAAATCCAGCATTGGAGGTGATCATATTAATGTGGAAAGGCCTTTAACAAGTGTTTCACTTTCCAACAGCGAATGCTACCGCCGTGTTGAGCTTTTGCGGAACCGCCAGGACGAGATGAAGGAGAAGTTAAAGGAAGCCATGAAATTAAAAGCAGCACAAGAGAAAGAGGAGGAGGATGTTGGTAGTGAAGATGAAGAAGAACTGCAGGATTTGTTGTCACAAGACTGGCGGGTGAAAGGGGCTTTGTTGTAGCATTTCTGCAACATGGTTGACTCTTTTTATCTGTGGTCTTACTTCCATTGTTAGAAGGGAGATTCTTCTGTTAAATATTTATTTAAAGAGGATTGTGAGGTAAAGAGCCAAGCTTATTGAAAAAAATTTGTAGATCTACAGTGGTGTATTACTTGTTGTAAAAACTGTATATTGCAAATGTTTTACAATACTGAATGCACCTTTCCTATTAAAATGACTGTTTCCTACTGGAAGTATTTTAGTGGGATTAATAAATGTGTAAAGAATCTCTAGGCTTTTGGAAACATTAGCTCAGTTTGGTAATTTTGAATCAGCTTAATGTCTATAGACGTTCATAGTCTACAGATTTTTCCTAGATTGGGGGTTTAGGGAAAATATTATGCATTTATGTTTTTTTAAAATTTATAGGTGTCCTTCTGTCCATTGCCCCAACTCCCAATAAAATATGTACATTTTTTTTAGGGTCTGTTACAGTTTCTCTGTGTTTATAAGGTCTAAGCTCAGAAATGCTGAGCTACAGCTTCTCCACAGTGTATAGCCTATAATGTGCCATAGCACTGCTGCATATTTTTCTTTATAGTCTCCTGTTTTGCTTAGTGCAGCCATCATGTAGCATACCTCACACTTCTTGAACCACAGGGAGGAGAACACAGTGGTTACATATCTGCATCACTTAATGAAAGGGTAACAAAATGCCTGAGAGGAAGGTACTGCACTGGAAACTGAGGAGGTAAAATAAAAACTGCAGATACTGGAAATTTTGTTAAAATACTATCTTAGGCACAGAAAACATCTACAATTGATTCTGTTCTGATAAACACAGATTAGGTAAAACCAAGAATTATCAAACTTGACAAGACTGGGAAATGGAGAGCAGAGCTACCTTTGGTAAGTGTCTTTTTTTTTTTTTACTTCTTTAAATCTTCAAATATTTCAAATTTGATGAGGACATTTTTAAAATAACAGGAATGTGTGGCTTGAATGATATAAAAAAGTAAAGTTGTTAAGAACAGGTTAACCATTTCTTTAATATTCTAGATTTAGAAGTGAGATTTTAAACGGAGAAAACAAGCTTTGCTCTTACGAAAGCATTCCAGTTACTTGACTCAGAGATGGTTATCAACCAAGCAATTAAGATTAGAACTAAACTTAGGTGTTTGATTTGCTTGTTTTGGGGAAAATATTTGATATGGCAGAAGTCCTTTCCTTACAGTGAGATGCTTTTTTATCACTGAATTTCCACGATCCTTGGGTTCAGCTCTTCCTATTTATAAAGCTGTCAAAATTCAGGCAATGGTCCCTAGTGGTTTATGGCTGCCACACTTTCCTGCACTCACAGGCTGGCTTACAGCAGTTAGTAAGAGGAAGTGTAAGTAGCTGTTGCTGCTGAAATACTTGATGTGACACAAGAAGTCTTACATGAATTAGGACTGTCACCGAGATAGCAACATTCAAAGAGTATTGAATAGAATAAGTGTTCAGAGAATATTGAAATTAATTATGAATCTTTGGACAAGTTGGAGAAAACTTAGCTGGACGAAAACGGAAATAAAATGTCTTTAGAAAGCGGGAAACTTTCAAACATCAATGTCTAAGGTGCCTTCATGCTGCAGTGAAAGATCTCTAAATCCATTTATCCTGTAAAGAGAACTTCCATCTGAGTGGGTGGTGCAATGTTAACAGGACAGTCTTTTTCAAAACAAACCAAAGCACAGTCCCTCAACTTCCCTCTGAGAAAAGCTAAGCTAAGTTTCTGATTGTTCTGCTTATCTTTGCTTTTCACTGACCCCACTCACCAAAGTACACAAACTTGTTAACACTTAAACTTCAGAACCACTCTGTATTTGGCTTAATATCAGAGAAACAGATGTAATGAATGTAATGAGCATCATGGACATGCATGTTTTGACAGTATAAAAATGCTAATCTCCGAGTCTATAAATTGCACTACCTTTTTGTACATTTTTCTGTAATTTTACTTTCATCTTGCACATAAATCTGTAAATCATGGTTTCAACTGTGGATGAGTAGGAAATTAACTGAGCATCAGTTCAGCTGTTTTAGTCCAGTTGCCTTCATCTTTAAAGGTATCTTGTGGTAAGAAGCTAAAGGCAGTGAGTTTAGTCACAGTGCAAGGATCTTGAACATTCAAATCCAAATCAGTGTACCCCACTGTTACTAGGAGAAGATGGCAGGAACAAACACCAGATCACTCATCATTCTATTTGTTCTCCTTGCATAACTTGCTGAAAGGGTAAGGATGGGCCAGCCAGGGGGTGTGTACATTGCTGGGGAAGTTCCAGCATCCATCCCTCTTGGTTGTGTCTTGTTTAGGAGTTGGTGCACTTTTCCTTGGAGGAATCTCACAGATCTCCAAACATGGTTTTATCCAAGTGTTTTACAGCTTACTGCATACAACTCTACCTTTCTTCAGCATTTGAAACAAAGCTTTTAGAGAGTTTTGTGAAGATGATGGAAATCTCTTTGTCCCTTTTGACCACTGACGTGCAAGTGCTGTTGTGTCAAGAGGGTAAGAAATCATCCTGCTTTTTAGCAATGAAAGCATGGCTGTAAGAGAGAAATAGCCTAATCTCATTTAGT